GAGAAGGGTGCAACAATGAATGAATGGAATTCCAAAATCTCTGTAGATGTTCATTGAAATGAAAAATAAACAAATTAAATAAAAAAAAAAAGAAATCCCAAATGAGCCAGCTTTTCCACTTCTAGGGATATACCCCAAGGAAATTAGAAGTGCTACATAAACAGAGAGATGTGTACTTAGGTTCACAGCAATGTTAAACACAATAGCAAGAAAAGGGAAGTCTCTCAAATGTCCATTTAGAAACAAATATACTAAGAAATTGTGGTAAATTCACACAATGGAAAGCATTCAGCTACAAAGATGAATAAAATAAGGATATATACTTCAACATACATTATTCTTGAATCAGGCTAAGAGAAAGTATCTAGAAACAAAAGACTTGCAAAATTACATCTTATATATCAGAATAGGTAAATTTATAGACACAGAAAGCACTGCCTATCAGGAAATGAGAAAATGTGGAATAACCGCTTAATCAATATGAGCTTACATTTAAGGTAACAAAAATATAGGATAAAAAAGAAGAATAACAAATTGCATTTCTAGTGGAAATTACCTCCCTACTCATGTTGGTACATGAACACTCTTCAGGTACAGTTAAATATCATGATAGACACTCTTCATACTAAATTTGATTGTATAACAAATTATAGTAAATTTTAAATTACATCACTTACAAATCAAATTTAAAATTACAAATTTTAAAATTTCCCAAGTATATAAATCAGCATGGAATTCTGGTGCTCTAAGCAACTGAGTGGTAAAAAGTTGTGCTGCAATTTCGAAGGCAAATGGTTCAAATCCACCAGATGCTCCAAGGAAGAAAGATAGGTAGTCTACTCCCATGTGATTGTCTCTGAAAACCTTCCCAGAAAGTCAACTATCGACAGTACACAACAGCAAAAACAGAGAAAAAGGAGAGAGCTCTGGTGGCTTAGTGGTAAGAAGCTGTGCTGTAATCCAAAGGCATGTGGTTCAAATCCACCAGCTGCTCCATGGGAGAAGGATGGGAAATCTCTTCTCATGCAATTTATTGTCTTTGAAAACCTGCTGGAGGATCAGTTATGGACAATTCAGAAATGCAAGCATACAACAACGACAGTGAGTAAAGGAGCTATGCTGCCAACCTAAAGGCAAGTGGTTAGAATTCATCAGCTGTTCATGGGAGAAAGATGAGCAAAAAGCTCCTCTTAGCAGATTTATAGTCTCTAAAACCTGTCAGAGGGTCAATTATAAGTCGGTTTCAACTTGACAGCACATAACAATATGAATCAGAAGAATTTTATTTTAGGAGTTAAACAAAAGTTGTTGTTGTTGTTGATTGCCATCAAATTGAGCATGACTCATAGCAACCCTATGAACAAAAGGCCTGAAGACTTTCTATAACTATCATCATTTATCAAAGTTCACAGAGTTTCCAGAGGCATGTTGTTTAGGGAGTGATGTGATTCCTGTTTTCAAAAGAGGAATGAAATATTGTGAATTACAGTATTTATATATTAAAAATGCTGTTGGAAATTCACATCTTTAAAATCATATCTCTCTTTGTAATTGCTTTTCTTCAAAGAACTCAACATGCTTACCTGAAAACGTAAAGAACAATTCATTTTGCAAACCAGCTCTTTGCATTTTAACACGATGGCATTCAGATTTAAGTAAAGAAATTTCACATGAAAGGTCAGAAACCAATTTAGTTAAAATCTGAAGAAGCTTCTTCTCAAATGAAATATTATATATACTATTGCAGGGAGCTGCATGATATCGAGCTGTGAACTGGTAGTAAAAATGAGGTTCACGATAAGCTACAAAATTTAAAGAAAAACAAACATGGTCATTTAAACAATTTAAATATTCATTACAATTAGTCAATACATATTGGAGGTAAATCTGTAATACATGATTTTGTATACAGTTAAGTTATAAGTATTTTATTAAGTAGCAAATATTTTTCTAGACACTTAATAAATATTAATTAATCTAACACACAATTACTTATAATTGGTATTAGTTTATAATCACTCTGAGTTAACTGAAGGGCTCAGAAATTGTTTCTCATGCCTAAATCAAAGAGTATAAAAATCATTATTTCATCCTAGGCATCTTAGTTTCACTGTTACTATGATTCTCACAACAAAAGTTTAAAAATTCATCAAGAAATTAGGTCATGTAATTACCAATTATACTTTAAAAGTATGTTTCTTATAAAATTAAAATTGGTTTGAGTTTCACACAGTTTAATAATTGAAATTGAGACAATGTGTTTTCCCCCTTATCTACTCCAAAAGCTTACTCAAACAACAAAATATATAAAACAGCAAAAAATACAAAATGGCAAAAATACCAGAAATTTAAGCTGATCTCCCAAGGCTGAGAATTTTATTGCTACTTGTTTCTCCCTGCTTTTTCCTGACTACACACAAACAAAGGAAATTTCTCCAAAAGTAAGCCTGCCACCGTCCAAACTGCTGTTCATGCTTTTAAATAAAATTTAAGTGTATGCACTACAGACTTTACTACAAATGAGTTTCAAGGAGAGACCAGTCACTCACTGCTAAGGAAACCTCTATCAGTTTAATTTACAAGCACACAATCATGCAAACATGGGGATATCAAAGAGTGTTCAAGAGAAGTAAAAAAAAGAAAAGATAATTTTAAAAGGTCTAAAAATGTTCATATATATATATGTATATATAATTTTTTAAACTCTAAATAGTAAGAATAGAAAATAATTACAAAGTTATTGTAGTAATGACTACTAGATATGAAGCATTCTTGAAAACAAGGAAAAATATAAACATAAATACTGAAATTTATAAAATATTCCTTGATTAAAAATCAATACCAGAAATGGAATTTTATGTTTGAGCTGCAGTAATGGAATTCTCATATAGCACAGGTAAAAGAGAGAAACATTTTCATTCCGATTCATGTTTCTCTTCTTTTGATTATGATCCTTCCATCGATTCTTTCATCATAATATTCACTAATAGTAGCCAAGAACCATCCATTTCTTCTGGTCTCATGATATAATGTTAGTAACTGTACCTGGAGACAACCACACATTCTGTATTCCACTCCTATTACTGACTCTCTTTCTTCCTGGGTTAAACAGAGAAAAATACATGCCTTGTATGGCTACACTCATGCTCTTAAGGCCTCAATGCAGTATCAATGAACTGGTAGGTAAAATAGAAGCATTAAATACATTTATAGACTGATTGACCAAGATATTTCATAAAACCATCCTTATACATCCACAGCTTCATCATCTGTGTACTTTTTTTGTTTTTGTAAATATATTTTATCAATTCAACTCTTTACAGATACACAACTTACCAACAGCAGTTATAATAATATGCTATGTAACCCTACCTGTGAGGTAATTTTTTTATACAAGCATTAATCTCTGCTTTATTCTTCTTTCTTGTCTCTGGTAAGCACTAAATCCAAAGTTTCACTAATTTAAAATTCTTAGACTCCCAACTTTCTGAAGCCATGTAGGCAAGATGGACTACTAAAAGCAATGCCTTGATATAATTTTTAAATATTAAACCAAAATTCTTAAAACTGAACAATACTTTGGCTTAATAAAATAAATTCATCATTAGCATTTTTCTCTTTTTAAAACTATATATTTGAAATTAAGGTAAGAACAGCAATTTCAAAGATTATATAAGAATATTAGAGGCAGGAAGATTTTGTTAATAGGGGATAAACAACTTAGCAAAGGAATTGTTGAACAACCTGAAGAATCTAATCAATGCCCCTGAATTAGTTGTACATGTAAAAACTACTGAAATGGTGTATGCCTTGTTGTGCAAATTTTAAACATAACAACAATTATTTTTAAAATGTACACCAAAATGAAAGAAAAAAGGAGACAAAATAATAAATTCCAACTATAAAGGCAAAGTAAGACACAAAGAAAGAAGATCCAAATTATTATGCTAAAGAAATTTTGTCACCATATTAAAAAATTTCATTAGTGAACAAAAATAAATGTCATATCTCAACACAAATCTTATCAATTACCATGTGTTTCCTGAAAGATCTGTCAAAATATGTGCATGTATGTGAATGTACATACATATGTAAATGCAGAACAAGTTTTAAAATACTCTCTAATACTGTCCATTTTGGTGCTAGAAGATGAGCCACTCTGGTAGACTGTCACCCCACCTTTATTGATGTGGATAAAGTTTTCACCCAATGAAAGGTCTAAAATAAGGAAAAATTCCATTAATAACAGAAGGCATGAAGTATGAATCTAGGAAAATTGGAAGTTGCTAAAGATGAAATAGAAAGATAAAAATCAATATCCTTGTTCTTGAAATGGTGAGCAATGCTGCTATGAACATTAGTGTACAAATTTCCATCTGTGTTTCAGTTCTAATCTCCTGGGGGTATATTGCTAGGAGTGGAATACAGCATTTCTATGTTCAACTTTTTGAGGAAATGCCAAAATGCTTTCCAGAGTGGTTGTACCTCTTTAAAATTCCACTAACAGTTATGAGAGTTTCCACTTCTCAGGCTGAATGTCCAACCATAAATGAATGGATTAAGAAATTGTGTTACATTCATACAATGGAATACTATGCAGCACTCAGGAGTAACAATTACAAAAAATACTACATAACTTGGCAGAGATTGGAGAGCATTATGCTGAGTGAAATAACTCAGTCTCATGATGACAAATACTGCATAAGCCCATTATTGTGAAAATAGAAGGATAACTAGTAAAACGTGTATGGGGACCTAAAGGGTGTAAGAGGTAGGAGCAAAGGGGTTAGGATGAATAGGGGCAAGAACACAGGATTGCTCAATTTGGTGGGGACAGGTTTGGGGGGACAGTAAAGAAAATGGGAAAGGTCCAGCAGGGACCCAAAAGGATAGAGTGATGATAGGCACAGTTCAATGGTGACTAATTTTATAAAATATTATGCATGGTAATGATTGTATGAAACACAATGTGAATGAAGAATAGGGTGAAACAATGTATACAACTTTGTAATCAAACCAATATAAAATAAAAAAATTGTTTTAAAAAAGATCAATATACTTTATATTATTCTAGACACTAATGAGCTGAAATGGACTGATATTGGCCACTTGGAATAAAAAAAATCATATGATTTATACCATGAATTAAACTGTGGAGGAACAGTGTTATATTCATCCAAAAGAACAGTTCAAAACTTGTCATGAAGTACAATACTGTCAGTTGCAGGATAATATTGATATATTTATACAAGGAAGACCTCTTAGTACAAATATTATTTGACTATACATATAAAACATTAAAGGGGAAAAAATTTTGGAAGTTTTCTACCAACTTCTCCAGTGTGAGCCTGATCAGACCTGAAATAAAGATACATTAATAACAAATAAAGATACATTAATCCGCTGCCCTCAGGCCTGTCTTTCATTGTTTTTATTCAGACATTCCTCGAGGTGGTATAGCCCTGGTGTACAAGTTGCCACACTGCATTCACTTTTGGTTGCTGTGAGGCTGAACACCGTGACACTGGTGTGTCAAATGCGTTAATGACTGGCTACCCAATGCGGAAAGAGAGTGGGGTGGAGCTCCCTGATTAAAACAAGCTTGGAAGGAGGAGTGGCATCCATTTCCATAATAGCTTGCGTCTGGAAACCCTATGAACCTGGAGAGAGGATGAAAGGCACCCAAGCATCAAAGACTCTCCTTCATTGGGTCGCTATGAGTCGCCTGTGACTAGATGGCACTTACCACCACCAACAACAACAATGTTGTTAGGTGTTGCCGAATTGAGTATGACTCATAGTGACCCTATGAAAAGCAGATCTGAGATGTGTCCTATCTTGTGCCATCCTCATATTCTCTGACACACTCAAGCACATTGCTGCAGTTATTGTCAATCCACCTGGTTAAGGGTCTTCCCCTTCACCATCCCTCTACCTTTCCAAGCATGATATTCCTCTCCAAGGAATAACCTCTCTTAGCAACATGCCTAAAGTATGTGAGGCAAAGCATTTCTCAAGCTGAAATAACTGAAGTAAAAGTTCAAACCTCAAGGTGCAATACTGAATGATTTGTTGGGTAAAATACGGAACGACTCAGGAAACATCAAAAAATGATGGAAGGAATTCATAGTCATTAACAAAAAGAAATTAATTGGAATGGAACCATATCATATGATCAGGGAACAATGGTATTAAAGGAAGAAGTCCAAGCTTCGTGGATGGCATTCGCAAAAAATGAGACATCTAGGTATTGACAGAATCTTAATTCCATCAATAAAACTATCAAATGATGTGCTGCTCTAATTCCATCAATATAACTTGATTGGCAAACAAATGCAGATGCTTCTGGTATTAGGCACAGGTTTCACATGAGCACAATTAAGTGTTCTGAAATTTCTATTCTTCTTAATGTTAACCCAATTTGTTATGGTACACACATTCAAATGCCTCTCTGTTCTCTGTTGGTGCAATATTCTGATTTTGGATTATGTTCAGTAAGATTTTACAGATTCAAATATTAAGTTACATACTGAAGGATGTCATGGGCAAAATCTTTCTTGACTGATCCAGTAAACACTAAAAGAAGATGGAGAAAATAGAGTGTCACTGAACCAACACAGAATAATTTAAAAAAACAGCATATGATCAAAAACTAATGGTGACAAAGAAGTTCAAGCTGCACTGAAGGTATTAGCAAAATATTGGACCCTAGAAATTGATGGGATACCAACTGATACGTTCCAACAAACAGATGCAGGCCTAGATGTGTTCACCAGTCTACATAAAGAAATTTGGAAGACAG